GTGCTTAAAGAGGGCTCTTGGAAAATGGAGTTTGTGCTGGTGGACTCTGATAGCTTTGTCTGTGTTAACAAATGCAGCTCCTCCCTTCTGCACACTCCACTGCATCTTTTTTTTTCTAGTGGTGAGCAGGGAACCACATTCATCCGAAGTTTTGCTTTATCTCAGAAAGCATGGTAAAATTTTAACATGTTGTTGCTTCATTCCCAGGCAGGGGGAACACCTTAGTCAGACCTCTTCCTAAGGTTATTCTTGATATCAGCATCAGTTTGCATGAGAAGATAGCAGGTGCTGATGTGGGACAGCAGGGGTTGGCAGCACGTGCTTCTGTTTTTGTTTCTCCTTGTCTGTAGCAAAGTCAGTCTCTGGATTACCTATGATAGTATGGATTTAATTGTCTTTCCACTTCTTCAAGCATAGGTATGAGGATGATTTTGTGTCTTAAAACAGAAGGTTTGTGTTCTGGTAGTCTAGGATTTGTTCTCAGTACTGCTTCAGGCTCACTGTCCCACTCTCACTGAAATCAGTACAGATACCACTGACTTGAGTAGGCTTTGGATCAGGCTCTGAGTGCCTTAGTTGCCTCATCTATAAAATGGAAATGACTTCTATCAGATGGCAACAGGGGTGGATCCAGGGTGGATGCAGTAATACAGTTGCACACCTCTTTGATTCTTGCTCCACCCAAACTTTGGGTGCAAACATAAGTGCAGCTCCCTGCTGTAAGGGAGAGGGCTTTGCAGGAAGCATTCTGAGTTACAATGATCCCCAGACCAAATAGAAATACACTGTTGGTTCCAGTGGGGAAGGGAATCTAGCTGCTGGGTGCCAGCCTGCAGCTGGTTTCCCCTCTCTCCCAGCCTGTTCTTGTTTTCAGAATGGGAGGGGGGAAGGGACCAAGAGGGAGCTCGTTTTAGGGGTTCCCCAGCCGGCACTGGAGGGTGGGATGGGTGAATTGGAGTCCTTCCCCCACCCTCAGGGGACCTCAATACACCCTCCCCACCTTCCAGCAAGGGCTGAAAAAAACCCAGACTGAACTCCCTCCTCTCCCTTTCCCCCCTCCTATTCTGAAAACAGTGACAGGCTGGCAGGCAGCACAGACAGAAGTTACAGAAGATACTCTGTTTTGAAATGTCGTCATCTGACTTCTCATGCAATGGGGGTTCAGATTTTCATCCAGCTGGCCATTTTTGAAGCGGCCTGCAGCCATGCACGGTGTTTGGTCACGGCTATAAACTGCTTTCTGTGGCCAGACTGGGTGAAAATTGTCTGTGCACAATATAAAACCAGCACTCTGGGAAGGGCAGCCACATTTCTTGTCAGGCAGTGCTAAGAGAGCATTGATGTCATGGGTCATTGTCACCTCCCTGATTCTTGTTAATCTGTCCCCACTCCATGGATGTTAACCACCCTCTTTCCTATTTAATGGTCTTGATGTTGCACTATTCAAACTACCCTTTTTTTTTTTTGCAGTTTTGCTGTCTGTGAGCCATTCCTGGTAATGTCTCTCTTCTATTCCATGGCCCTACAGGATGATTTAGCTGTAGCTAAAAACCTTAACTCAGGTGTGGTAATAGTAACTCAGGTGTACAAATGACTAACAGTGAAGTATTGGAGGCATAGGCAAGATGCTCAAGAGGGCTAGATTTTGTTTTACATATTTGAGTAAGAGATGTCCATGTAACTCTAATTACTACAGAACTAATGACACAATATCTTTTGATCTTTTGACTATTTTTTGCCTAGTTTGTTGTGTTTCTTTAAGCTATATATATGTAATCTAGCAAACTGGTACACATTCCAACCGTTATATCCAACAGTATAGTGCTAGCCCCTGGCATATTAATAAAGCATCTAGTTTCTCTTTAACTTAAGAACAATATGTATTATGGCATATGTGATGATGTGCCACACCATCTGCACCCCCTTTTTCAGAATCCCAGATCTGCCCATAGATAGCAGTATTGTGAGGCTAAACTCATGAGTGTTTTAAAAGCACCTTCCATGCAGGAATCACAGGAATAGTACCACCTTCAGAGCCAATAATTTGGTCAGTGCAGTTTGCTGGCACCTCAGCCCACATCCTTATATTACCAAGGCCAGATTTGCTAAAGACGCTCATAAAATCTCATCTGAAATGGCCTGTGTCCAAGTTTCTGAATATGCTGATGGTCAGACAGGCTTTGAAACATGCAAAAGCTTGGATTCATGTGCCCCTCAGTGTGCTTTGGCAAGTGCATACAGTAGTCCAGTGACTGACAGCTCAGTTTGTGCAGCTAAACACAAGCAAATACACAAAGCAAATGCACAAAGCAAAGGGGTTCTGGTACCAATCATAGTCGTAAAGAATTGGCCAGCCCAGTTTCAGAGCTTGGATTGTAGCTCCTTGGCAAGCAGCCATTTGTGCAGTGGAATTCAAAGAGCTAAATCATGAGGGAAGAGGAAAAATCACAAATGGGAAAATAAATATCTCGTGCCAAGCCCTGGAGTTCACTCCCAGCATGACACCTGGCACAGTCCATCTATGCTAGGCAGGGACAAAGAGGCTGTGGTGGCTACTATGTGCTTCCTGCTCTGCTGTTACTGCAGTTACATTGTCCAGCATGTGTTAAATTGAGGTCACGCTTGTGTACAACAGTTTAAAGGCAGGCAGTTCCTTGCCTTCGGTGCTTAGCAAATTCAGGAAGCCCTGAGTCTTGCTGAAGGCAAGCATTGTCTACAGGCAACTGCTAATACACCTTACCCTGCTGGCATCCACCAACAGCCACCTTTTCCCCAAGTGCAAAGACTGACATTATAGTAAAGAGACTTGCAAATGTGTACCTGAGAATGTCATTTGTTGAGAAGGACACAGAGAGGGACTTGAGCTGTATGGTTAGGCCTTGGGTTGCAACTTTCTAAAAGCCTGTGTTCTTATCTAGGGGGTTGTTTTGGCTCAGATGTGGCATGATCATGTCTCCTGAATGGGACCTGGAGATAAAGTGTGGTTTCTGACAGCAATTGAGATTCTAGCATGCTAATTACAGGGGCAGTTTGACGGTTTGTGCCCCCTCAGAAGCAGGGATTTGCTGATTAGGAGAGGGGGCCATGAAGGCAGTTTAGTTGGTTCAGGCAGAAATGCCATCATGTCAGGGTGGGGAGGCTGGTGTTTTAATACTCCTCTGTCACTGCACTATCCTATCTATAGATTAAGCTGCTTCAGCATTTGGGAGCAAACATTCAGAGCTTTGCAGGCCCAGGTCTTCCCTCCACCGCTCCCCTTCCATCTGCCTCCACAGTGCACAGAGCCCCTTCTTCCCATTCCTCCAGGAGGAGATGGGATACAGCATTAACAGAGGCCTGTGCTGGGAGAGTGAGTAGGAGGAGACATGAGTACAAAGAAGAGCTGTGCAGAGGCAAGTGTTTGGGAACTGAAGTTAAGCTGCTTTTTCAACAGCTCTGTGGGTGGCTGGGGTTTGCTCATTGAAGGGATAATACAAATAACAATATAAAGATCTGCCCCTCTCTAGCAGCAGGGGTCAGTGAGAGGGGCAAGGGACTTGTTTGCATTTGAACACAAAACAGAAGTAGGTTTAGGAAGACTTAAGGAGGAGAAGCGGGATCCTGCAGTCCTTGGCCAGTCAGTTCGGTGAGTGAGCCCCTGACTCAGAACGAATGAAAGTTGAGACAGAGGATGGGGGCTAGCCCTGCATACTTCAGGCAGACCAGGTACAGACATTACACTTTTATTAGCATAAGTGATTGGAAATCAGTCTCTATCTGTAACAGGCCAGAAGTCCAGCACATGTAGACTGTTTTAAAAATGGTGGACTGTCTAAGGTTTGTTCTCTCTCCCCCCCCCACCCCCGGAAGGGCAAATTTGTGTTCTGTTCACTATTGATCTAAACTGCACCACTTACAGAAAACACATAACTTGGATTGATTTCACTTCCGGCTTTTTTAATGTCTGTACCTAGCCTCAAATAGCTTATTCCGGGTTCACCAAGGAAAAAGAAAGATTCTTCGGTTGTTCATTTTCAGCTACTGCGCGGGAGCTGCGAGCACGAGCTCGAGCAAATGAAGCTTCTGGGTGTGTCCACCATGGAGCAAGTGAAACCACAGCCCATAGCACAGCATGCAACACAGCTCCTGCTTTGCACTTCAAGTGCTTTATATCCAAGGATCTCAGAGCACTCTACAAGGGTGGGCAAGGTGGGCAAGCATTACCTCCCTTTTACAACCCAGGAAGCTGAGGGGGGATCTACAGTGCAGTGCACAAGTGTGATTGCAACAAGTGTAAATGCAGCCCAGCCTACTTTAAACTCATCTCCCAGTAGCAAGCTAGCTGTAGCAGCACAGGCTTCAGCATGAGCTACACAAACCTACCTGGGACCCGAGGTACATAGTGTGCAGTGGAAGACCCTGGTGCCACTGCTTAGTATGCTATTTGTATCTTCCTCCTGTAAAGCAAGCTCAGATACATCCCCTTTGGCTGCATTTATACCTTTGGATGGCTTTAAACACAGAAAGGTGACATGGTTTGTCAACATTTCTCAAGGGCAGCCCATGGAATAAGGCCCTGGCCAGTTCTCTAACCACTAGACATGCAGCCTCCCTTTGCCTATTGTCCAAAATGTTTGAAGGTCGCAACAACTCCAATACCATGGTGATGGGCACAGTAGAAAAACCTAGAGGTAAACAGAAGAAAGGAAAGTGGAATCATCTAAGTTGGTCCAAGGCAGAGCTAGGAGCAATGGGATGACATTTAACAAAGAAAATTTTGCCAACTTAGAAAGGAAAATGTCCTGATTATAAGCTTGATTAATGGTGGAATAGTCTCCCAGGAGAAGGGCGGAGTGGGGAAGCCCTGTTGTTTGAGTCATTTCAAAGTGGACATGAAAAAGCAATGGAAACTGGACTGTCAGGAACACTCCTGCATTGGCGAATCCAAGTAGGGTTTTTTTCCACCTCCCAGTTTCTGCTACACGGAAATTAATTTATTTGTATTCACCATTATTTTATTGTATTGAAAAATAACCAGTTGGCAACCTGCATGCTTTGAAGCTTGGGTACAGATTACTTTAAGAATGTTTATTAACTCAGAGGGGCTGGGACTGGAATCAAGCAGCAGATTTTCCTTTGTCATTGTGTTTGGTTTGGAGAGGGAGGTGGAAGGGGGAGGTCGTGTTTTCTGTCCTGCTCAAATGTTCTTGTTAGTGATATTTTCTGCATCAGCTTTCAAACTCTCCAGGGAGATAAAGCAAGGAAAACCATTAATAACACGCGGATTACCCTCTCCTGACATATGAGATCACTGTTGTTCCATGTCCGGGTCAGCTAAGAAGCGTTTAATTGGCAGCAGAAAACTGAGATGAAATATGCCCCCCACCCTGCGTTTTGTAAACTCTGCATGCCCTCGCTAAGGCTGAATGTAATAAACAGGGCTGACCTTTGGGTATTTGCAGAGAGCACTGAGACAGAAGGGGAATTCTCAGGTGCTCAGTCTCCTATGAATGACCACACATGGGGTGTTGTTATAATTAAGTCTGGCTTGGGGCACTGGAAGCCCTAAAGGAACTTTAAGGCTGATCCTGCTTATACAAATGCTAGCTTGCATGAATCATTGGCTTTTATAGGAACCCGTTTAAACCTGGTTTATTATCCAGCTGTTTCCTGTGTGTGTAAAGCATTGTGTTCCCTGCAAAATTTGTTGTAAGTTACTAGGTCTGAATGGTCATTCTCATCACCATAAAGATTCGAACAAAGAACCACATGTGTGTTTTGAGAAAGTCACCCAAAAAAGATAATCAGCAACAGCTAAATAATTTCCAGAAAGAGGTCAGATGTCAAATGTGATTTATGGAAGCCCTGGGTGTAACTAGGTAGCAAAACTGCCTTACTGCTTTCACATGCTGCCAGTTGCCAACTTAATCTTGTTTGTTGGTGTCTGTTGCTTTTTGTACTTGCCTCTAAAAATAACCACCACGTCGTCTCCTCAGGGAACCCTAGAATCAGTTACCGCAGCTAGAAGACGACTGTAATTAATGTGCTAAAACTGGATACAAAGGGCATCTTGGTTTCTTCTGCCGGCAAGAAAAAAGGAAAGGCTGTTTCTGGAGATCCGTGAGCCAATGTTAGTATTTGTTTGGGCGACAGTTTCACACGCAGGTCCCAGCAGATAGCGACAGCCGCTGCTCCCAGAGTTTGACTGCCAAGTAAGGAGTGTTGCGTTTTAGAGACCCAGGGCTCTCTAGGGGCCTCTGCCGGTGTACATGTGGCTCTGTGTGTGTGGGAATGTTTTTGTGATCGTTTTGTGCGCTAGGTGCGGGAACACAAGAAGCACATATCTATGCACAAGAGCTGTACTTGTGGGAGTGGACACAGGGAGCACATCAAACGGAGCTGTTTGTTGTCAGTACTAGTTAGTGTGAGTAAACTCCACTTTTCAGCAAGGGAATTGTTTATGAACTGATCCTAGTTTTCCATGGACATATCCTTTTTCCACGAGCAGTTGCCAAACGCTTAACTGACCCTTTTCAGGATGCATGTTGTTTGCAGGCCTTTAGCTGAAATCCTTTGCTATGTGTTATTTCTGCCATGTAGTTTATCATGGAAGTTCTTTGGCATAGATTTTTTTTACACAGCTCGGGCGCGGCCAGACTAGCATGCACATATGTTTCCCCAGGGACAAATAGCAGCGGCACATAGTTGTGCCACTGCTACTTATCCCTAGGGAATGTCCACGCATGCATGCTCTGGCATGTGGCAAGTTGCCCCACGTGCGGTAGGGGAAGCTGGGGCCAACACCTGGACTGGTCCCAGGAGCCTTATCTGGGGTCCAGGAGGCCTTCCAGGGTCCCAGCAGCAGTGATCCGGCAGCAGGGAGCCTGATCAGCAGCTGGAACATGGCTCTGGCCAGCCAAGCTTCAAATCTGGGCAGCGCACATGCACCACCCCACTTTTTTCTAGAGTGGGGTTTTTTGGCATCAGAATCTCCTGGTGTCTACAAATTAGCATGTGTGGCATGTGCAGTGTTTGGCGCTGCAGACCCATCTGCAGCACTGCATACCACACATGTGCACTCATCTGGATGTGCCTCTCATGTCCGTGTCCCGGGGTGTTTTCTTTGGTATGGACAGGCAATGATTCAGTCAGGTAATGATAAGTTCTAGAATTCAGAAAGCTTCTGAGATTCACCAACATTTACGTGAACACCCAGCAGTCATTCACAAAGAGTATCACCCACCCTATGACTCATAACAATCTGCATCACACACAAAACTATTCATATATCGATTTCATTTACTATGTAACTAGCCCCAGAATGAAGTATACAATTACTACTTTTGTTGTAGATAGAGCAGTTCCTTAAGGTGAGCCTTCCTTTCAGAATCTCTCCAGTGCAATTACAAGTTATGGCCCCTGCCCATTAGTCGGGAGCCAGTTCAAGAACAAGGTTAATATATAACTCAAAATCCAGTCATTACTCCAGAGTTACTATTGAGCTGGTGTTGGTGCTAGAAGATGCTGCAGATAGTGGGCTGTGCTACAGATGATTAGTCAGTGAAGGAAGTGAATTATTTATCACTGAAGAATCATGACCGGGACAACGGAGGGAGGAAGAGATGAAAGTTTCTAACATTAGATCTTCAGAAATCATATTGTATGCACCCACCTATTCCCATAGACTCAACCTGCATCCAGTTGCCCTGCATTTACAAAGAGGGTCTCTTTAGAACCCCTTTGATGTGTGGGCCAGATATGTCATGCTGAGGCTGAATAGTCTCCACTTGAGGAATGAATGGATTTAGTGCTGCTCTCCATCAGCACAAAGTTTGCAATATATATGGTCTGATATAATTAACTGTTAATTCAAAGCTCATGCTACATGGGATCGAGATACTTACCCGTAAGAACTGGAACCAGGGCAGCTTATTTGAGCTGGACCACATTCAGCCTTCAGGCAGTAACAACTTTTGCTTACTATCTATCAAGAATTTCCTTCTGTGTTTTAATTCTGCTTTTCCCTTCCTGGTGTTCATCCCTCAAGGAGCAGTATGACTTCACTTGCCTTGTGGGTGTTTTTGATGTCTTGACCACTTCTTGATAGAAATAGTCCTGCATCATACATGATGCATCAAATTACAGATGTGGTAGAGATAAAGTTTCCTTCCCACATAAATGTTTAGTCCTCTTAATAATTGCCTCACTCATAGCTTAGAGCAAGTGATGTGCAAACACATCAGAGAGATCTGGCCTGCGTCAAACTCCACTAAAATATAGATATCTAGTACTGTACAGATAGGGCTGACATGACAGGAATCTCACAACGTCAGTTTTGAAGAGCTGCACAGAAGGAATGTGTTCTGACTTCGGGCTTGAAAGAGAAGAGATTGTTCTGAGTTGAAGAGCTGGCATGTATATATTGTTTGGATAGGTCAAACTTCCTTATACTGAATGAGGATTTGAGTATTCTCACATACCCATGACTAATGGGAGAAGTCTCCAACTTTTGATTTGAGAAGGTACTGGGAGCCCACAACCTCCTTTTCTCTTCAATAGGAGGTTGAACCCATCAAGTACCTTGCAGGGTTGGACTCTGAGTAATTTATTTTCTAGGAAAAACCTTAGTATCATCACTGAGGGTGAGAACAAAAGACTTGAAAATGAATAATATGAGTAAGACTATATGTTTTCCAAGCATTTTCCGGAGGGGCTGGAACCATCTAGAAGGAATAGGGCTGTTCTGAAGATTTGTTTTCCATTGGGACACTCTTGGAACATGCTTAGACTGCAATCTTTTATAGTACTGGTCTGTTAAGACCTGGGACACATAGGTAAGGAGCAGAACACTTGGTGTAAAAAGCAGTTTTCGGAGACCTGGCTGGTTTCTGTATATAGTGAGATGCTACCCCCACCCCTTTCAGCTCCTTTACAATCAGCTCATCCCCCCTAGCAACCAGGGCCTTCACTGTAATTGTTGACTTCAGGGCTGACGTAAAGCCAAGTAGGTGTTGGCAGCTGGAATGCAGCCCTTTGGCAGAAACTCAAATGCAGCTCAAAGTCAGCAAAGAACCCCCCCAAGCTCGGTCACACTGCTATGCTGGGCTCCTGAGCTTTGCTGAGATCATGGATTTGGGGACATTTCAAGAGACAAAGATTAACTTGAGATTTTTTTCTCCCGTCCATGGGTTTAACAATCTCAGTCATTGCAGCTGTCATTGTTGAAAAGTGGAGATTGCTGTCAGGTGTGGTACTTGGTGTGCCACACAAGATGGGATAATACATTGCAGCCAGAGTAGTCAGGGCATAGAGTAAGGCACATTAGCCTTTTCAGTGCAAACTCTTAAGACTCAAAAAGGGACACACACCATTTAGCTCTAGGATAAGAAGGGGAAGGTCTGGTTTTCCTTGCAGATACACTGGTTTTACGCTGGGTGTAAACCCATCGCTCCTAACTGACATTTGCCTAGCTGAGAGCAGTATCACTTGCTTTTCCTCAAGGCTTCAGGAGAGAGATTTTAGGAGGCACAATTTGAAAAGAAAATCTGTAATGCCTCTCCTCCCACCTGACTGTAGCCCAAATCTGGTCTGTGTGGCCATTCTCAACATACCATACCCATACCTGATTAACAAATGTAAAGTGCTGATCTGCACAGACTAACATACAGCCAAAAACAAATTTGCAAAGCATGGGTGTTCTGCTTAGAAGAATCCTCTGGTTTTCTGAAGACCCCGAACTGGCTGTCCAAGCCTTGTGAAGAATGCATATTCCTTAGAAAGTCACCTGGCAAGTGCACACAACAAGGCATTGGTAGAGCTGAAAGCCTCTGGAATTGCATAAATGTTAAACTGGATATTGTAATTTGTTCATATAGGTCCTGCTCCAAGGCCTATCAAAATCAATGAACATCTCTGAGCTTTGGATCAGGCCTATACCTTGCAAGAAAAATTAATTGTCCCTCAAATATTTACAGTTCTGCATGCGATAGGTCATACACACCCTGTCTGGCACAGTGTGTATGTCCTATGTAGTTCAGTGATATCCTCAGGAATTGGGTGCTGTCTTCTCTTTCTGAACCTTTTCCTGAAGATGAGTAAGTACATTTGACACTGATTTTTATTTCTATTTCACAGATTAGGTGAGAGCGTGGTGAATGTTGCCCTTTGTTGACAGGACACTGTGTGCACAATGAAAATCCCAAGTGATGAGCTTGGGTTTTTTTGACATTGCTCCAGAAACAAAGCAACTTTTGCATGCAACTTCCATCTGCAGATCTGGTGAGTCATGTGTCAAGGCTCTCTGAACTTGACTCCTGTTCAGAAAAGGAAGCTGACAGACTGTTTCTCACTATTTACTGCTGCATACAGTTTGTAGTCACGGAAGTGGGCATTTCACTTCCAGTTAGCAGCCATGTATACCATACATTTTTCTACTCTGAGGATGGCATTTCTACCCCATGCTCTCACTCATCCCATAAATATGCCTGGTTCCCCCTAAATTTGCTCAGCTCTCCTCACAGCAAGCTTCTTTACTTCCTTACTTTGGGGACTGGGTCCCAAACTGCTTTGCCCTTCACTCAGATGGAGAATTACTCCTCCCATTAAAGTCTGGGTAATCAGCTGGAGTTCAAGGAGTGAAATCCTGCACCCCCAAGACAATGATGTGTATCTACAGTGCATCCTACCAGTAGCTGCTGCTCCACTGTGCAGCAAAACAATACTTCAGATCTTGGGGCCTATACATATCCTAGGCTTCTCCCTCAAACTTACTTTACACACTGGACCCAAGCAGGCAAGCACAAAGTCATCACCTCTGCAAGCAAGAGTGACCTACAAACCCTGTATGACTATGTAGCTGCTTCTAGGCTCAGTGCTTTATGAGGCTTAAATGTTACCACTGCAAGCCAGCTGGATTTCACCCTCACTTATCAAAGGATCAGATGCTCTTGAGTCAACTTCCTCTGAGGAAAGGGTTCAGAGGTGCTGAAGTGCACCCCTCCCTTGGGGGTCTTTAAGAGAAGGCTGGACAGGCATCTGACTCAGGTCATCTGACCCCAGCACTCTTTCTTGCCTAGGCACAGGGTCGGACTCGATAATCTGTTGAGGTCCCTTATGTCCCTAGCATCTATGAATCTATGAGGTCCTTGTCTTTGAGAACTGCTGGATCATCACCTGTGAAAAATGAGACTGCTTAAAGTTAATTTACACAGCA